CACAGCATCGATTCCTTTATTAAACGGAATGTCTGTGAGACACTGATTGTACCTACTTTAAGATAAGACCTATTTGAACAATCAGAAGTTAGATGTGATGTTGGTTGGCACATCCGTCACAGGTTTATGAGTCATACAATATTCAGTAGTAGTTAAAATTGGTCTAAAAGAGAAAAAATTTGGGTAGGCTTCAGCAGTTGACTCACATAAATCTTTTATTTCTAGTCATGTAATGTTGTTCTTTTGTGAGTCAGAGCCTGTGGTGGGGAAAATTCCAGTGTTAAGGGTTCTGTGTAAATGAGGGATTCCTTGCCATTTGGTTTTCTTTATCTGTTAAACAAAGTGAGGCAACCATGCTTACAGAAAAGAAACCTATTTCATTCTGTTTCTCTATTTCTTTCTCTAACAAGCCTACCATAGAATTCAGGGAACTATTAACTTTTATTGTAATCTTGAAGAAAGAATTGCAGACGTGTTGTCTGATACAGATGTTATGTGACATGTGATGGCCCTTCCTGAATTAAAACAAAGAAAACAACTAAACCAAACAGAAATAAAACTGTGAGAATGATTATCTTAGATGATTCTTTCAATTTCAGAAAGCCAAAGGTAAGTATAAGAAAGCAGTGAAATTTTGCTTGTATCCAATAGAGAAGAGGGAATTTGATGATAATGAGAAAGTGGTCTTTAGATTCGTGAAAATGTGAAAATGTGTGTGGATCTTGTTATAAGTCTCTGGAAAGCACTTAATTACAGAATACTAAGATGCTGCTTTAGGATCATATAGTTCTTCTATGTTCTTTGTTACTCTGAGATGTATTTTCTCCACCAAACATGTTTTTTGTGAACTCTTTAGGGTGGCATCTCTCTCTTCATGTACCACATGCTTCTGAAATGCTACATATAATTCTGATACTTCATAGTAAAAAGGATGTCTAGAAACAAACACCTTTGATAAGAGGTGCCTAGCACAAAATGAATATGATTTCCCAAAGTAAGAGAAAAAGCCCTGTTCAAAATCATGTGAGCAATTACTCTTCTGTAGGTCTAAGAAAAGATGGAGAAGATGCTTCACCTTTCAATTTTTTATTAACAAGTTTTAAAACCAAGATATACTTTTAGAATAAAAATAGCTGATTTCTTCCTCAGGGAATCAAATTCATAAACTTTCATTTTCTAGTTCATAAAGAGAATAAATAAAATGTGTACCCTCTCAGTGTCCTGCCCATCTTCACATCAACAGATTATAGATAATTGCTTCATGCTTGAGCAAGTAAGGTGTCCTCCTCTCCAAGGCTTAGCCTACTTCCCATGCTTTGGATTTGATCCTTTTTTTTTTTGCTCTTGAGATGCCTGGCTTCATCAGTTATCCTCTCTCTTTTCTACCTTTTAACTTTCTCTTTCTGTTGGTTCTTTCCTCCATATCCTATAAGTATGTTGTCTTTCTCATTACCAAAGAAACAAATGCAGAAACATCCTGAGATTTCATACTACCCTCTAGTTACTCTTCTGTTTTCTGCTATCCCATAATATTCCAGCTTAATTTTAAAACCAATTTTTTTTAAATTTGTAAAAGTAACACAGGTTCATTGTTAACTATTTAAAGTAGATACAAAGAAGAAAATTAACCAAATGCCTGTTGTCCAAAACGAACCACACTTAATACTGTGTTAAGTGTAAGTGCACATTGTAACTATTTATAAAGCGTTTTTGTCATCAGATACTTTCTATAGGATAAAAATGGCTAGATGTATAGTATTTTATTAATAAAATATACCATAATTTTTGTAAATAATCCCCTCCCATTGAATATTTAGAGTGTATCTAATCATATTGTCCTTATGAACAAAGTGGACATCCTTGCAGCTAAATCACCCACCTTTTTCTTGAAGTTACATCCTATAAGTAGAATTAGCAGATTCAAGTGTATGATATCTTTAAAGCTTGATAGATTAAAAAAATGTTCCAAATAGTTTGTATCAATTTATTTTCCTTTTCAGCTGTGTTTTTTCTCATACCACAGCAATTTTGATCTGTAGGAATTCTACCTCATTGTTTTAATCTTTCTTTTTTCCTATTTTTGAACATTTTCAAGTATTTATTGCTTCTTTGCATATAATATTTATTATGTATTCATATTCTTTGCCCATTTTTCCATTGGAGTGACTGTATTTTTTATTTGTTAGTGTTATTTTATATTGAATATTTCAACTCTTTTCTTTTTTAATATATTATGTTTATACTTAGTTAATACACTTTCATATATTTTCTTCATATTCCTTTAATCACTTATATGAGTTTAATTATGGATTTTTTCAAGTAGTCAAGTTATAGTCAGCAATATTGCCCTTATTTTTACTGCTTGTATTATCAAACTTAGAGTAGCCTTAGCATTTTTATGCAATTGTTTTTTAAAGTAAAATTTTATTTAAAAATGATCTATGTATAACAAAATGCACAAACCATAGAGTAAGGCCTTAATAATATATATCCAAGTACTTAGGATAAGAAACAGAATATCACCAGCGTCCCAGAAGCACATCAGGCACACTTTCTGTACCTACCCTCACCACCATTTTTTGAACTTTTTAAAAAATGAAATCATACAGCAGTATTCCTTTGTGTCTGACTCTTTTCACTCGGCATTTTGTTTGTGGAATTCATCTGTTGTGCATCTAGTTGTTCACATATACATTTATTTCCCACTTCTATGAATATTCTTGCACCAGGTTTTTGATGAACGTGTATATCCATTTTTCTTGGGTGTGTATCCTGGAGCAAAATTTGAGGCCACAGGGTTTGTGTGTTCTCAATATTAGAAGACTCTGACACATAATTTTCAAAGTAAGTTGTTAATTTGAAGAGAGGTGTATGATAGGAAAGTTTTAACCTGTTGTCATCATGTATTGACCATTTCTGTATCCTTATTTTGTATTTATACCACATTGAAACTAAAATTTGAACTGAGGAAACCAGGAGATTCGGTTTTCCATTTTATTTTGTCGTTAAAAATAACTTCAGGTTTGCATTTCTAAAATTATTCTGTATCCTAATTAACCTTAAGAAGGACTTTCCAATTACTCAATAATTTTTCTCTTTTATATATAAGATCTTATATATCTAATTACATATTATTATTAAGGTCATCATATCTCACATTTTGGGAATTTCTGTGTATTTTGCCTGAATGCAATTTTGAAGATAACTATGAATTTGTAGTGGAACAGACAAGAACTTTGAAGACAGGCATGAACAGATTCTAATGTTGGCTCTGTCGCTTGATAGCTGTGTGCTCTTTGGCCAAAGGATTATTTCCTGTAAAATTATACTACTTGGGGCTGCTTTGAAGATACGGTGAAACCTTGAACACTTTGGAGTGTTTGCCCTATGGCAGCCACTGATTCTAAGTGCTTTGCTATGAGATAACATTTGCTCTTTATAACAACCCCATGCAATGGTCTCCATTATCATCCCTTTTTTAGAGGTGAAACTCAGACTGAGGATTTAAGCAACTGCCCAAATTTATGTGGATAACAAGTAGCAGAGCCGGAATGTAAACTTAGTGTAGCTGCAGAGTCCATGCTCATACTACTATTCTTCTCCACATTTATAAGACATCTGATTTTGCTTTTGACACCCATTAACCATATAAATACTTACTATCCTTGTGCTTAGCATAAGTTACCAAAGGTTTTAAATATACTCAGAATACAATTTCATAATAAGTTGATTGCTCTGTACTATCAATTTAGTTGAAACAAATAGAAATATTTCCAAGTAAATATGGTCTAAAATGACAAATTTCCAGTCCTTCCTGAATATAAATTTGTCTGATCACTATGATGTCTTCTGAGTCCTAAATCCTCATATTTAGAGGGATTATTACCATACCATGACTTCTTACTAAGTTAGAAAAGGTCATTTGCTGGTGGTATAGTCACCTGACATCCATGTGTCTAAGGCCTTTTGATCAGGAATGAACTGCAGGCTATGGAAATGTCCTATTCAAGGGAGTTTCAGTTGTGAGTTACTGTGCTGAGAGCACATGGTGTGAAGTTTGAAAGGGAGAAAAAGGAATGCTCTCAATTTTTAATGTTGGAGGCCTAAGGACAGGGGTTGGAGGGTGTCGACTTTCAGGGGCTCCCCCTTTCATTCCATTCACCAAAGCAACAATAAGGAAGAGATTCTTTTGGAGACAGAGTTCCCAGTTAGGTCATTCATAACTGCAGAGGGAGAGGTAATATCAAGGCTGGGACAAGAATGAGGGAACTGGACTGAGACACAGCTGGTGGAAAGTGACAAATGGAAAGGACATGTTTTTAAATTATATTCTACATTTTATGGCCAAAATGAAATTTGCTACAATGTTATTTACTGATAAGGAATTCGCATTGTTTGGGAGAGTTCTTTCAAGAATGTCAAGTGTTTTCTGAAAAAGGATTTAGAGTAATACAAAGAGCTACTTCATTATTTTTTCTTGTAAGTAAAATGCTGGAATTTGCAAGTGAATAAGTTTTGGGGGTTTTAACACAATATGTGCCATGAAAATTGTGCTAAAGAATTCTGATTTCTGAATTAATGGAGTCAAATTTAATATAGTTTTCCCGGTGCTAACGTTACAGCTTTGTATCAATATAGAGGGTTGATTATTCTGGAACTGTGTGCAAAATTTTGAGGGATAATTTTCAGTATTTAAGGCAAGATCTATATATACGTAGGCCCTAAGAGATGCAATTACTAAAGTAAAAAGGCAAAATCATATTCAAATCTTGTTAAATTTTGGTTGCAATATCGAAGAAATTTTGCCAGTGTGATTTATCTTAAAGGGCACATTCTAAATATTCCATTTCATAGAAGAAGTAAGCACAAACTCCATGTACTTAAACAAATCTCACATACACGCACACACACATAAGTGCACACAAATGTAAAAATACAGAAACCTTTCCCGATTTTCTCTATATTGTAAGAACTGCATGATTATTCTTTCTTTTTGCCAGGTGGTATTTTTGAATATGTGGAATCTGGCCCAATGGGAGCTGAGGAACTTGCATTCAGATTTGCTGTGAACACGATCAACAGAAACAGAACCTTGTTGCCCAATACCACCCTAACCTATGACACCCAGAAGATAAACCTCTATGACAGTTTTGAAGCATCCAAGAAAGGTAATTGATAGATGTTTAACATTATGTTTTCTGGAATTCAAAATTTCAGCTATCCTTAAAGACATTTCTTAATTCCAAATGTAATTAATAAGTCATTAGGAGTATTTTCATGCAAATGTTTCTTTTCAAAATGCGCATAAATTTTGTCAAGGGATGGTAAGATGAAAAGATCACCTACTGCAAGAAATTTGCTTGTAACGGAAAATGCAATTAGGCCT